AGGAAGGAAGGAAGGAAGGAAGGAAGGAAGGAAGGAAGGAAGGAAGGAAGGAAGGAAGGAAGGAAGGAAACTAAAATCTTTTTACTCTCACCTGGACTGCTCAAATGCATAAAAATGATTAACTTTTCCAGAGTGTAAAGGAAGCCTGACTCAGGTATGTTTGTCTAAAACCAAAACACACAGTAAGTTTTTCGGAAATGTTGAGGAGTAAATAGGAACTAGCTCACAGCAGGTTTTCTGTTGGGTGGTCTGCCACGCCACGGAGTCCCTTCCAGCCTCCACTGTATGAATGTGAAAGTGGAGGGTGAGGGGGTGTCTGTCAGGAGCCACCTTATGCTGTATATGAGTAAATATTTACATGCCTACATTTATTTGCACATTTTTGAGGGCATCCTGTTTACCTCAGAGTGTCAGTGTGAGGAAGTTTCCAACAAAGTGCCAGCAGTTTGCCTTCATGTTTGCACACACTGTTTACTGAGCACATATGAATTAACGCTGCAGTGTGTGTCTGTTACCTTCAGCTTGGGTGGCCACTTTGAGCGCTGCTGAGCTCTCGCCCTGCCCGTTGCTGTTGTGTGGCACCACCCTGAAGCGATATTTAGTGTCTGGCATCAGATTCTGGATGGTGACTTGCATCTCTCCTGGTCGGCTAGTGTTCACCACTCGCTCCCTGATGTGGAAGGAGAAAAAATTACTGAGATTTTTATGAAATTAACAAAAAAAACCCAACTAAAAACGTTTATTTAATAAATTTTTTCATCTTTGAGATGAAATTGATTAAACTTTTAATAATGATGTTGTTCTATAACAACAACATAAATGTTTGAGGCAAAAAGATTCAGGCATCTGTGTTCGCCTCAATATAGTAACCCGAGGCAACACTGCATCTTTTGCTACCCTTCAAAATTGGAAACTTAAGAGATCATATTAATGAAATAGATCTTAATGAATCAAGAAATCTTCTATAAGAAAAAAGTAAAAAAAAAAAAAGGTTATTGCCTTAATTTCCTTGCCAACAACAAAAAATTATAAAACAATTGGAACTGAGATGAGTCTGGTCTAAACCAGGGGTCTGCAGGACTACAGGATTTTTAAATAAAACACAACCTATTATTTCTGTTAAACATCTGCCATAGGAAATATGTTTTCATTTTAATCAAACACAAATTTATGTGCATTTTTAGCTCTTAAAGGTATAGTGGAGGACTTTTTGTAAAGACATGCCGTCTCCACTTTAAAAGCAACCCTGTTGTAGGCGTTCCATAGAAGGAACGCCTTATAAAAGAGAGCAAAAGCATGCATGAGCCCTTTTCTCCTCATGTATGCTTAGTTTAAAAGTTGCTGTTTGCATCGCTCATACAAGCTTACTTTCCAAAAGAAGATTTGCAAATTTTCTACTATGTCAGACTCGCCACCAGTAAGTTAACTCGTGGGGACGAGCACATAGGACCTTACGTAAACATATTACCAGAATGATTGACAATTAGGACCACTTATTTAGATGGTCCACCCAGAAAAAAAAATCATCCTCTTCTATTGCTTTAAAATGAGGGAAAATATAACATAATTCTTCAGATGAAAAAAGGATTTTCTTTTATAGGATATTATTTAATGTAAAATCATCATAATAAATAAAAAACATAATTCTTTCGTGAGAATTCATTTCAATAAGACTGGTATTTGTTATCATACTGCAGTCGTTTTTTCTTTATATCCTTTTTAGCCACTATTGAGAGCCACTCTATAGGGTCCAAATAGCCACATGTGGGTCCGGAACTGGAAGTTACAAACCTCTGATCTACACAAGACCCATGTTGATCTTTTCAACCGAGATGGAGATAGTAAAGATCATTTTATTATATAAAGAAAATCTAAAACTTACTGTCATTAGCATTTATTTATGTTGTTTTACTTGAAAACTAGCTTCAACATTCCTGGTTTGACACATCTCCTCAATCATCTTATATCCTACTTTGAATACAGGAGCAAAAGAGCATTATTATAAAGATTGATGTAAAAAAACATAAATAAAACCACTAATAGCTGACACATCCATCTAAAAAAAGAGAAAACGATGACTGTACAGATTTCCAGCAGAAAGTCGCTGACACCCTCCACAAAAGGAAACAGTTAAAGAGGCGTGCTGTTTACAGAGTGCTGTATCAGAGCATATCAATGCAACATTGTGTGAAAAAAAAGGTCTATGGGAAACGGGGATTATCACACAGATGTAATCTCACGGATTTGAGGAGAAGAGGAGAGGGACAGAATCCAAGTTGCCTGAGGTGTGTTGTTAAGCTTGATACCTAATACTTGATCTTATGTAGTAGGAGTTTCTGAGAAGCTTATTTTTTCATTAGCTGTAAGCCATAATAATCCAGATAATTAGAAAATAAACTATTTCAGTCTGACAATCTGGGCAATTAATCTAAAGAAGTTTATTTTCCTGAATTGGAGGCACTGAAAAAAATGTTACTAAAATCCACCTGTACTTTAATCCCATTATTATTCAAAATGCCTCTCATTAAAAGCCTGCTCTTATGGCTGCATAGCATTAGTCACTGTTGTACCTGCTGTTGCCCTCCTGACTGTAGAACACAGAGTAGGTCAGCTCATCTCCGTGCGGCTCCGCCGGCTGGCGCCAGGTCAGCTTGATGAAGCGGGTGGAGACCAGGGAGGCCACGACGTCTCGCGGCGCAGAGGGGGTGGGCCCCGCTGGGGCGGCTATGCCTCCAGAGCCTGCTGTTACATGGTCAGTAGTGTTAGGAGTCAGTGAAGGGGGAGGGAAGGCGGGCAGGGCTACGTCTTCAGGGTCGGGAGGGGGAGAAGGTCAGAGGGAAGATGGACAGAAATATTGCATCCAAATGGACAGGTTGAAGGAGGAGAGGAGTTGGAATGGAAAATGACAATGACACGAAAGAAAGAAAGGAAGGAAGGAAGGAAACAAAAACAGAAAAAACAAAATAACAACGTAACGAAAAGGACTCTTGGCATGACAAGGAACCACAGAAATAAAACAGTTCTACTGCACTCACAGAGCTGACAAAAGCACGATACAAGGGAGACTAAACATGCAAATCCACACACAGCTCTCTAGTGCAAGGGTAACAGGAGCAAAACACGTCAGAGTGCATTAAATTTAGGGAGAAACATGTTCTAAGCCAATCATTTGTGTGCTGAAATGATTGGTTTGCATGTTTTTCAACACATTCTCTCAGATAGTAGACTTTCCTCTGAACTAAAGCGTCATGTAAATTCTCCATTCTAGATCTCAACCTAACGTCCCCATTGTGCAATCTGAAAAAACAGATGAGGTACCGTCACGTTCCACAGCCAAAGCCACAGAAATGTTTGTAATTTTATACGTTTTTTTCTTCTTCCTTTTTTTGGAAGAACAAACTGTGGTCATACTCTGCAAGATCTGCTTTCCATTTGCTTGGCAAGTGTGCGAAACAAGACCCTTTAGAGAAAAACGTCAGTCTGTATGACATTTCCATTTGTTTGGAGGTCAGGGAAATCAACCGGAGGGCAGAGCTGGAATAAAGAATCAGAAAGCAGCCAGCGTGGTGTTAAAGCTGTATTATTACTGCTGAAAATGGTGCCAAGATGCAAAGAGGCCGCTGGCGCATTTATTTGTCGCATCATGCTGACAACCCGCTAATTTGGCTTTCACTATTTGTTTACTTTTCAATTTCTCCGAGCTTGCTGCCTCTGTGATTGAACCAATATGAGAGCTTTTCCTTCATGCATGATTTCTGAACATTAAAACTAAAGAAAAAAACCCAGCAAACAATAAGTGAGGGATTGAGTTCCTGCTGCGCGTGTTTTGACACTTTATTTTTGCGCTCCATGTGGAGAATTTCATTGTTAAAAAGGCAGTAGAGCCTTTGCCAACAAAGGTGCAACATAAGCCCAAATCACCACCCCTCCATTACCATGCTTAAAAGCTGATGTGAGATCACAAACCCCAACCATTACTAAGTTTAAGATGAAGCTCCAGGGTTGATTTGTTGGGAATCTAATCCTGTTGTTGACATGAAGTTATAAGTAGTATAGCTTAATATGGCTAACTGACCTGGATAAAACAGGCTAACCTGTTAACTACTGAGCACAGCTAGCCACAGCGCTAGCCCTTTATATCATGGTCTTGAAGTTACGTTGTTTACTTTGTTCACCATAAAAGATTTTTTCAGTTTTGTTATCCATCAGGTAACAAACTGATCATACTTCAAACTTCATCGGCTATTAGACACGCTAATGTTACAGATGGTCCCAACTCTGCAAACTGACTCTACATTATGTTATTATTGTTGTCTGGACAACCACAACGTTTTAGGTCATGTGTCAATGTTCAGCGATACATATAGGGCAACGTCACTGCATCTGACCACCCAAGCGGATCTGGTACCTACACAGGCATTACCACCTCATTACTCATTACTAGAAAGCAACCACCACTTCATTATAGACCCTTAGGTGGTCACGCTTTATGATCAATCAAGTGAACATGAGTAGCAGCACATGCCTTTACTTTTATAAACACATATTTTCCATTTTAGTTCTGTTTATTTGACAATAAATGATGTCCAACTTAAGGCAAAATTTAAGAGTTTTTTGTGTATGTCCTAATATATAATTCCCTAGAACTGTTCATTGTTGTAGTTTCACCATGAGTATACTTGGAGCTCTAGTCGCTCTGCTGTTTTAGTTTTGCCTAATGACAATAATAAATGCTTAAAAAGCAGCAGGTGGAATATAAGCAAAATAATAAAATTCAACTTTATTGTCAACACACTGTCAGAAGAACAAAGCAACGAAATGAACTCTGCATTCAACCCATCCCCTTGGGGAACAGTGGGCTGCCATTGTGTGGCGCCTGGGGAGCATTATAGGGTTAAGGGTCTTTGTCAGAGACACAGAGTGACTGACTGTGGGAATGAGTGGGGCTTGAACTCAGAACCTCTGGGACCCAAGCGTAATGCTCTAACTGCTAGGTACTAAGGTTCAACTGCACGGTTCAGGCCAAACAGGAGCAGCTAGCCCATGTTTAAACAGAAGAAAAGACATTCTGCACCATATTTTCCTACATCTCAGTCTATCAAGAATGTCTGAAAAATTCCCCCCAAAAAAACTCAAATCCACATGTCCTCTGTCGTTTAAAACAGCCTTTAAGGTATAAGACTGCAGCACCCTTCAGCCAGCATGGCAGGGAATGATGACAGCAGTTAACAACCTAAGAGTTCTAAGTCAGCACTCCAGCCTCAGAGCCACTGTTTCATTTCAAATCCTGTTTGCTGGCATTCAGCCAACGACAATGCAAAACACATTTTCAGCCTAATACTTTGTGACTGCGGCGTAAATGACCAGATGCTAAGTAATTATCTTCAACTAGACAGCTTTATACACACACACGCACACTCTCCTACAATAGTACAAAGCGACCTGACCCGAACTGCGCTCATGGCATAAACAAAATCTCACAGCCTGTGTTTGGTGACAGGAAAGCACTTCCTTTATTTGGAAAAAATATTACAGCCAGAAATGCAGCTGGTATTTGCTGATTGAAGGAAGAAGTCACAGAAAAGGCCGCCAACACAGGAGAGGAGCTGATGGGGGAGAAACGAAGGTGAACTTCATGGAGCGCTGGGCGACTTCTGAGAAAAACTTCAACCTTTATCACCAACTACTTTTAAAATGCAGTATATATTTGAATGCAATCATAAAAGAATCGGAAGGTGGAAGGATAAAGAGAATTTTAAGTGCAAACGGCGGATGTGGCTTCAAAAATTCAAGCAGCATAAACGAGCTGCAGGCAAGGTTTCTCTGAACACTGTGGGGTTCGGAAAAAAAGGCTGGTGGAGAGTTTGAGATGCAGATGACGTTTACAATGAAGACAGTCAGAGTATGCTAATCCTGCTAAGTCCTTGACAGCTACTGTATGAGCTGTGCTTCTGCTAATAAATAAATTAAGAATGGAAGAGAGGGCTGGTAATGAACACATTAAGTGCCTTTGCTAAAATATTCTTAGTCTTGGAAGTCTGTCACTTCTTTTCCACATTGCAGTCACAAGCCTATTTACATCATTGGGATGTTTTTTTTGACATACTAGATAGATTTCTATGCAGAAGAAAGATAAAAAGAAATATAAAAACAAAAACATTTTTTTTTAGCTTAAAGTCTAAAGCAGGGGTCACCAACCTTTTTAGGAGGGCTACTTCATGGATACAAATACTGACCTCTGACCTGGAGGGATCAGGGTTCGCCTAAATGTCACACATAATAAAACTGATTTTTTATTGTTTCTTTTAATTTCTAACCTCCTTTTAGGTATTGTCATTTTAAAATCTATAAATGCCTAAATGCTCTATATGATTAATATGAAGAAATGCTTGATAAATCATTAAAAAAAGAGCAACAGAATAAAATATGCTGGGGAAGATTTCAGTCATCCAGGTCATAGTCATTCCGAAAAAGTTAAAAAACATTCCACTGGACTTTGTATCAATGTTTGAAGACGTTTCGCTTCCCATCCAGGAAGCTTTTTCAATTCGAAACATCAGAAATAGGGTTGTGTTTGAGGTTTTATAGAGTGGACCAAGAACAAAGCCTTGTTTTGGCTTAGAAAACAGGCAAATTTAACCTGATGAATGGCTCCGCCCCTTTAGGAATAGGGGTCGTTTGGGTTATTTGTTAGCCTGCAATGCCCCAATACCCATTTATGTCTCTGAAAGAGGGGTCATTATTGGGAATTGTTGGCTTGGATGAACAGGCGAGATGTTCTGGTCCTTTATAAGTGGGTTGGGGTGTCCCCCATACAGGGGGTGAGGGTCTATAAAGCCTGAAACTCAACGCTATTTCTGACATTTTGAATTGAAAAAGCTTCCTGGATGGGAAGCAAAACATCTTCAAACTTGGAAAAAAAGTTCAGTGGATTGCTTTTTAAACTTTGGAACAGAATAAAATAAATCTTGTATTCTTTGTAAATTTTGTTGTAAGTTTTTCTGTTTTCACAAGACCCTGAGGGCACCCCATGTGAACCTTGAGGGCCCCTTGGTGGCTGTTGGCATCGCGTTGAAAAAGAGTTCCTATGAAGTTTCTCATCACAGAAAAATTAACATAGTTAAGCTAAAATCGCCCTCCTTTAAGCAAATACTGTATAACAAACCTCAGAGAAAAAAAACATTCAAATCAATGTGAGATCAGACAAGATGGCTGAAGGGAACTCTGAAACAGGCAATCCCTCCAAGCAGCTTCCATATTCCTACACCTCGTCACTTGATGGTAATTGACACGCAGTGCTGTTTTTCAGTGTCCTTCCCACAATCTGTCTTGTACATGCACGCCTGGGATTGTTACAGTAAGGAGGTGTCTGCCTCCCGCTGCTGTTACTGAGCTCTGTTCATAGCTGATTAATGGTGTCATTAGTCTCTGTGCCAGAGGTAATGAATTATAGGCATTAAGGCTTAATGAGGAAGGTTACTCTGGATCTGAATACTAAATCTGAAGTACATATAACAGTTGGGACAAAGATGTGCACAGAAGCATATTTGTTTTGATATTCAATGAAAGTAAAACCAAAAATAAAACCTAAAACTTTAAGGAAAAAGTTCCAATTAGAGTCTGTAGTTTTTAACTTCTGGTAAGGATATCTCATCTACTCATCCACAGATAAAATAGTCACTCAAGGAATCTGGCTTAGATTAAGCACTTCTATCAGGAGAGGATACATTTATAACACACATATGCAATCATGGTAAAATGAAAAAAAAAAAAGTACTTTTAATTAAGTACTGAAAGTATGCATG